AGGGACCAAGAAACTCTCCATGGGATTATTCTTTCTGCAATAGCTTCCTGGTATGCTTGTCAAATTTTAGCGTGTTTTATGTTACTTCTTTCCCTTCACCTTTAAGCAAAAAGAAATATTATCTCTCCTGGAAATATCTGTGGTAAATGATTGTATAGGATAATCATTACTTTGGGTTTGCTGTTTCCTTGAGATATAGCTTGATCTTGTGCATGAAATAGCCCTACTGTTGGTCTGCTTTAGAAACCACCTTTGCTAGGTGTGAAGGTGGTAATTGTCTGAATTGAGGAGCCTTGTTGGCAAACCATCATCAAAGCACCTGATCAATAGGACATTTTCCTTCCTTCCCCCACGCTCCATTCCTAGGCAAAGAGATTAAAGCTTTTAGGAGAGGAACTGGTTTGGGAAATGTCAAAGGGAATGAGGTTAATCAAGGGCCTCTGTCCTGATTAAATTGTTCCCCTCTTTTGCCTGTAGCTAATTTTAAAGAGGGCTGTTTTCTTAAAATATCAGGAGATCCAATTACGGAACTCTCATGTTAACAAGTCATTCTTGCTCTCAGCAACTCTGCATCTTGGGACGATTCTTTCTCTGCCAAAGGAAACCTCAATGAGGCTTTACACAAACTCCTTTCTGGCCTTTCGGTTCTCCGAGCGGATCTTCCACTCCGCATCTGTTTCCAATCGTCTCCGTTTTTTCAAGAGAAGACTTTGCTTGTTGTTCTTGAGCATTTCATTTTGCTTTGCACTTTCCAAAGGCTCTCCCCAAACCTCACCCAGGCTTGCTTGTTACAACAGCTGCTGCCCTTATGAGGAGAAAGGACGAGGCGGCCATCTTTGTTCGCACCCGGCAGCGTTCGCTCAAAATCACCAAGAAGGCCGAGGTCAGAAAAACAGGCAATTTTGCTCTTGTGCCGTCTGATCAAATCCTGCTTTTGCAGGACAAAACTCGGCCACAGAAGGAAATAGCACGTCAAGAACAGGCAATGTTGCTGAATTTCTCCTGTTCTTCTCCAACTAGGTCACAATGACATGAGGGCCACCTGCTAATTGTCTACGTACAGTGTTCAAGGTGACTTGGAGGTTCTACACAATTGTAAATTGTATTGTACTTTTTTCCCTCTAGGCCAGGGGTAGGCAACCTTGGCTCTTTTATGACTCATGGACTTCAACTCCCAGAATTCCTGAGCCAGCTATGCTGAGGGGAAAGGGAGAGGTTTCCAAGCTGAGCCATGGTGGCTCAGGAATTCTGGGAGTTGAAGTCCACAAGTCATAAAAGAGCCAAGGTTGCCTACCCCTGTCCTAGGATGAAGATTAAGAGCAAGGGTCTTCAAACTTGCCCCTTTTATGACTCGTGGACTTCAACTCCCAGAATTCCTGAGCCACCATGGCTCAGCTTGGAAACCTCTCCATTTCTCCTCAGCATGGCTGGCTCAGGAATTCTGGGAGTTGAAGTCCATGAGTCATAAAAGAGCCAAGGTTGCCTACCCCTGCTCTAAGCAATGGGTACTCTTCATAAATCAGCATTCCCATGTGCTTATTAATTCAGAGGAAGGCAAGAAGACGCAAACTTGAATACCCATCTGATCAAGAGGCCAGGTCTTTTCTGCTGCATAAGGACCTTTCATTTCTTTATATTTGGCCAATCTTATAGCAAGAGCACAAATCTGTCAACATGGGCAGAGATTTTTCACCACAATCAGGAGAACAAGCCTGGATATTATTTTGTAAGGAGCCCTTTAGCACATTCCAAGAAGGTGAAGTACATTCCCCCCCCCAAAAAAAGAAGACTAATGGGAAGCAAGAAAGATGAACTTCATCATGTAATTAAGAAGTGATGTCATACAGAGATGAAAATCCTGTCAAAGACTCTCCACGCACCCCACTGTAATTATCCCAGACTCCCAAAAGATTCTTATATCAAAAATTACAAAACATCTATTTGATTCAAAACCTTGCCTTCCTGATAGATTCTGTCTCATGCTGTAGAGCCTGTATTCTGCCTTCACCCCCAGATGCAAAGTTCACAGCCTGTTGTCAAATTCCCCTGTTTGATCCTGGCTTTAGTGATAACATTTCTCAG